TTCCTACAGTTAATAGAGATGCTTTGCTGGAGGCCAGTTGACATTTTGGTTATTGAGAAAAGGTAGATTGATACCAAGGGCATGAAGAATTAAATTTTTTTTTCCTTTTCAAACTAAACCAAATATAAATTGCTTGGCTTTGTGTTCCAAACCCTCATGGCTTGGATTAAGTTGATCCTTCCAGCTTTATCTCTAAACTGTGCTGTACAGATTTTGTGTATCCCCATTGTTTTGCTCATAATTTCTCCAGAGAATGTGAATGTTTCTGTTTCCACATCTTATGCTGTTCCTTCTACCCTACTTTCTGTTTATCCTTTAAGACTCAATTCAAATGATCTCCTCTTCTCTCTTACCTTCCTTTATTATTTCATTCTGATATGGCCCCCAGCTTTTCTTTAATACTTAGCTTGTAATGGTTGTGTGGTCTGGTGTCATGCTTTCAGCTGTAACTGTTTGCCTGCATGTAGGTGCTTTATTTCTACTACTAGAATATAAAATTCCTGAGTATAGTAATTGCTTTGTACTTAAATGGTATCCACTTGGCTTCTAGCAAATGCTAGTATTTAATGAGTAGAATGAATAAGTGCCTATCTTGATTTTTAAAATAATACTCTTTTCTTACCTCCCCCCAGACTCAATTTGCCTAAAAAGAAAAAGAAAGCAGAACGAGAGGATGAGGACCAAGACACTTCCATGAAGAATGATAATAGTTCCGAGCAGCTGGATGTAGATGGAGACTCCTCCAGTGAGGTGTCCAGTGAAATTAACTTCAATTATGAATACGCACAGATGGAGGTCACCATGAAGGCTCTGGGCAGCAATGGTGAGTGAACTGGGTGTGCATTTGAGCGTCTGTTAAAGTTGGTAGAGTGTTGCCTGTAGTCCCAGCTCCTGGGGAGGCTAAAGCAAGAGGAATGCTTGAGCCCAGGAGTTTGGGGCTACAGTGAGCTCTGTTCTTCCTGGTGAATAGCCACTGCACTCTAGCCTCTGCGACTTGGCAAGAACTCATCGCGAATAAGAGAAAGAATGAATAGAATTGGTAGTGTTATGAATAAAGTTCGTTGCTATTCTCTATACTCTTATTATTTTGTGTCTCTGGCTATGCTTTATTGGGTTATAAAAACTTCCTTTCTGCCATAATATTCAATCAAATCACTTTGTTCTCATTTATAGAATCTCTGTGGCTTTAAACGTGACCGCCACGGGCTTATTACTATAGTGTGTCTCTGGAGGGTTCGCCATGTCTTAGCTTATATGTAGAGCATACAATAGAATTGCCTTTTCTATATGGGAGATGCTTTGGAATAGATCTGAGAATAGATAACAGCGTAAATAATTGGAAATAAGGAAAGCTGCTTTTATTCCCAGCTGTCTTTAATGTTATTAGTTAGGTAGTACAGTTAGGATGATGACAAGCAACATTGCCATGTGGACCAGCTCTGGAAGTTTATTGTGTTGTCCCTTTTGTTCCTTATTTATCTTTTTCAAAAAATGTGCTTAGATCCAATGCAGTCAATACTGAACAGCCTTGAGCAACAGCACGAGGAAGAAAAACGATCTGCACTCGAGCGTCAGAGGCTCATGTATGAACACGAACTGGAGCAGCTCCGAAGAAGGCTGTCTCCTGAGAAGCAGATCTGCCGGAGCACGGACAGGTTTTCCTTCCACTCGCCCAGCGCTCAGCAACGCCTGAGGCAGTGGGCTGAGGAGAGGTAACGGGTGCACAGGGAAAGGGCTGGCTACACACATGGCTCATGCCCCCGCTGGCCACCTTGGAAAGGCCTCCGTTCTCGATGGGAACGTCGAGGTGGTGTTTGGAAAAGAGGTATATTTAAATAGAATGCTACAGCCGAGAACCACTTTGTATAATTTTTATTTTGGAAAAAATGGAAATTGCCAATTTATAGTGCTTTATTTAAAACTGCCCGTCTTAGGTACTGCCCCATTTTCGGTTTGTGTGGTTGGATTTGAATAAAGAAGTATATTTCATCATTGTATTATGCTTTAGGTTCTGAAGCTTGGGTAGATGCTTTTTTTTTTTTTTTTTTGAGTTGGAGTCTCACTTGGTCGCCCAGACTGGAGTGCAGTGGCACGCTCACAACCACCGCAGCCTTGACCTGCTGGGCTCCAGCGATCCTTCCGTCTTAGCTTTCCAAGTAGCTGGAACTACAGGCACGTGCTGCCATGCCCGGCTAATTTTTTTGATTTATTGTCAAGATGAGGTCTCGCCAAGTTGCCTAGGCGGGTCTCGAACCCACGGGCTCAGGTGCTTCACTCACCTCGCCCTCCAAAGCACGGGATTACAGGCTGAACCACCAAGCCCGGCCAGTAGATGCTTTTTATATTTAAAAAAAGGAAAAAAGTTTGTTATCTGGACTGATTAACTCAGGTAGGTAAAGCATGGTGCTGATGAGATGCAGATTGCAAGTTTGATCTCTGTATGGGCTAATTAGCACTGCCGTGTTCCCTGGCTGCAGACTGTACTTCACTAACTTCATGCTATTCAAAGTTTGGTTTGCAGGCAGGCAGCATCCTTATCACCTGGAGATTGATAGACATGTGGGATTTCAGGTCCTCACCTGAGTCAAAATCTTGTGTTTCTCAAGATCCTCTAGTGATTTGCATAGATGATCAGGTTTGTGAGGCACTGCCCTTGTCTATGGCCAGCTTGCTATAAGAGCATATGCCAGTGCTCGCCAGCCTGTGCAACATAGCAACATGTAATGTAGCCCAGATACCATGTGTGCATGGGTCAGTGATATATTTCCAGTGTACAAAAGACAGTTGTAAAGCTTGATTTATATATCAACGTATTATTACTGTATAGTTATCTCATGTGCTGCTTTCTGTGTTTATTCCCTCCTCACCCCTCTTCCTCTCTCTCTTTTTTTTTAAAAGAGAAGCCACATTGAATAACAGCCTGATGAGGCTGAGGGAACAAATTGTTAAAGCTAATCTGTTGGTGAGAGAAGCTAGCTTCATCGCTGAGGAGCTGGACAAGAGAACAGAATATAAAGTTACCCTCCAGATTCCAGCCTCCAGCCTGGATGCCAACAGGAAGGTGAGGTTGCCGTTTATTGAAAAAAAATCTCATTGGATAAGGTTGCTTTATGTTTTCCTTGGTGTTATTTAAGCCTTGGTGGGTGTCTCCTCAGATCCCTGTCTGTATCCTCCTCAGGCTAGATCCCCTGTCTTCCTCCCTTGGGTAGAATTTACTTCCTTTAATTCTCTGCCTTTGTGCGCACCCCCCCCCGCCATACACACACACACACACACACACACACACACACACACACACACACACACACACACGTTTTATCATGTCACCCAACTCCCTTTATTCAAATCTGGTTAAATTATTATTATTTTTTTTTCTTTTTCTTTTTCTTTTTTGAGTTGGAGTCTCATTCTTTCGCCCAGACTGGAGTGCAGTGGCCGCTCCTGGACACTGCAGCCTCGACCTGCTGGGCTCTGGCGATCCTTCCGCCTCAGCCTTCCAAGTAACCGGAATTACAGGCATGTGCTACCACGCCCGGCTGATTTTTTGATTTATTGTAGAGATGAGGTCTCACTGCCTAGGCAGGTCTCGAACCCGCAGGCTCAGGCAATCCACTCACCTCAGCCTCCCAAAGGCGCGGGATTACAGGCTGAGCCACCAAGCCCGGCTTGGTTAAATTATTTTTGAGAAATGTTTTCTGATGAATCTTCCCAAAGTGTATTTTCTCCTTCATTTTGTTACCACTCTACAACCCCTTCCCCTCAAGTTAGGGGTTTGTTCCTTCTACTTACATCATGCTATTTTCTACTTCTAATAAAGTGCCCAGCAAAACTATTTATTAGTTGTTTCATTTGTGTATTCAAGATTGGAAACCTTTTTTTTTTCTTTTTATATAATGTTTAATAAACTTTAGGAAGAAAAAGCTCCATCACACTCTTCTGTCTTTGCCATTCAGTTTTCTTCTTCTTCTTCTTCCCTTTTTAGCTCATGATCCTGTTCATACATAATTTTTGATGGCTTAGGTAGAATTTTTATTCAGACAAATTTTTGAGTGTCCGTATGTTCTCTTTCTCCTATGATATTCAACACAGCAAAACTTTAATCATCCATCCTGGATGTTCTATGCCAATTTGGTAGCAAGGATTACATCTTTCTTTCCCTTGTGACATCACAGCATCGAGGTCAGCGTTTTGCACAGAGTAGATTTTGGCAAATATGATTCTTAATGTTTTGAGTAATAAAGATATTATGAATATGATGTAATCATTACTTTACAGATAATTGTCTTTGCATACTCTTATGTGTAGTTTGAAAGGTTGTATTTCATTCGAACTTTGTTTATTAGTATGCGTAGGGCAAAATCTGGGTACAGTAGTACTCACAGAAAACAATAGAGGAAGACCAGTCATAGGCAGAAGGTCTAGGACTCAGCATCTTCTGGATGCCTGAGAAGTGCAAAGTCATTCTTCATTCTATAGGGTTTGGGATGGCAAAAGTGGAAATGGAAACATTTTCCCCCAATTTAGCATAACTGTGGCCCTTTTCTCTGTATCCTGTTTTGGGCTTTGTTGGAAGGAGCAGATCTGCTTTGGGACCTAGAAGGGTCTCACATCAGCTTGGGCATCTTTCTCCCCTACCACCTGAGAGTGGGTTCACTGGGGCTGTTTCTGTTGCTGATAGAGGTAGCAAGCATTGCTGAAGTGAAGGAGCCATTTTTAACAGACAGCTACTAATTCTCTACTAGTTTTGATTTCAATTAGATTAGTATTTTTAGATATCAGCCAGAGAGAAGAGCTGGCCAAGGAAGCATTTCCTAAGGAGATGGCCTCCTTGTCAGCCTGGGTTTGCAGCCTTTAATCCAGCAAAGACTATTTTTTGATATATGAAAACCCTCATTTCATGTCCTGTCTATGCTGCGAATACTCTCTCTGGTGTTTTTCCTTCTTTCCAGTTTTGCAGGAGGGCCAAATCATGACAGCCGCACCATGTTGCCCTTTGCTGTTTAGTCTCAGGTCCAGCATTCTCCCCCAGAAAAGCCACTACCCCCACATCACTAATGGGATTTTTCTGTTTATTCACTAGCTGGCTGAATATGAGGTAGAAGGACCTTTACAGTATGTGAAAGAATTGTAACTTTTTTGATCGTAAAAATAATCACATCCTTGTCTCATTATTTACATTTTGTCTCTTTAGAAATGATTATAGGTACTATGTTAATGAAGCTTCCACGTATTTCATGGTTCTCTTAGGTTCTCCATAAGCATATCAGAACAGTTGATAAATTAAACCACTAAATCGAAATTGATTAGATAACTGATACAAACATCTCTCTGGGGGAGATGTAAAGAAGCTTTTTCTACTCTATGATTTCAAAAAGTTCTACAAATTTTTCTTTATTAAAATTGCTTTTATAAACTGGAAAAACTTTAGTGCTTTTTTTGAGATGACGCTTGTATAACGTAACTTTACTATTTTTGTATCGCATAAAGATACTATTCATTCAAAAAAGTTCACACTTTTGAGAGATCGTTTCTTCACCATACACTGCAGCAAACTTTCCCTTGCTGTTCTATGCCATGACTCTTCCTCATTGATAAACTGTGGTCCTATGATGGACTGAATATAACATTTATATTTTAACTTCCCATTAAACCTGGTCTCTTGGGTTTTAAATTTAAATTTATATCCAACTGCAGTCAAAATTTAAATGTAAGTTTATGCTTAAATGTTAAAACTTGTCAGGTTTCGGGGAACCGGTGTAATCAACAGATTAAAGCATGACTACTGGTTCAGTTTTGGTGTAATGGCATTTGACTGGTGGGTGTGGAATGTTCAGCCTCTGACTCCCTGATGGCTATCTGTGTGTTTCACGCAGCCGTTCTTCCTGTCTTTGCAGCGGGGCTCTCTTCTTAGTGAACCTGCTATCCAGGTGAGAAGAAAAGGAAAAGGAAAGCAGATTTGGTCTTTGGAAAAACTGGACAACAGATTGTTGGATATGAGAGACCTTTATCAGGAGTGGAAGGAGTGTGAAGAAGATTCCCCAGTAAGTTACTTAAGAAAAATGACCTAATTGGTTGTTATAAAAGGAGCTAAGCTGGAAGAACCTACCCATTTCTGGGGAAAGTTGTTCTTTTTCCAAAATTATAATCCCATTTCTAGACTAAAGTTTATTTTAATCCTTTAACTTGTTTAGCAAATTAAGATTTTTGATAACTTGTCTTTCTGGTATTTTCTTTTCTTTTTTTTTTTTTCTCATTTCTGTCTCTTGGATTTATAGCAGAATTCCATTTCTAGAACTTTCCATTCTGACTTCTGTTGGTATGCATGTGTCTGTCTCCTGTGCTGCTCTGGAAGAATTCTTTTATCACTCTTCCCATTTCTCAACTCATTTAACCTTGCAGATAATGAACCTGCAGTGTGTGTTTTTTAAATTGACTATCAGTGGTATCTTAATATTTACACTACTAGGAACATTTTTGGAAGGAGTTTTGACCCTGCAGTGCCATAGATCTGTACTCTGGTACCCTTTCCTCATGTTGCAGGTTTTCTCATTTAGGTCAGCAATTTACTTGTATGTATTTAGAATAGAAATACATATTATGTTTTTGCTTTTTGTTTTTGAGTTGGAGTCTCACTCTGTCACTGAAGTGCAGTGGCATACTCACGGCCGTCCTAGCATCGACCTGCTGGGTTCCAGTTATCCTTACATCTCAGCCTTCCAAGTAGCCAGAACTATAGGCATGTGCTACCACGCCCGGCTAATTTGTTTTTTATTGTGGAGAAGAGGTCTCGTCAAGTTGTCCGGGCTGGTCTTGAACCAGAAGGGTTAGGTAATCCACTTGCCTTGGCCTCCCAAAGTGCTGGGATTACAGGCTGAGCCACTAAGCCCGATCGTTATGTATGTTTTTATTTTCAATACTGCTGGTCCTGTTTTTGGATAGAATTGTTTACTTTCTTAGCCTGTTTTGTAAAAATGTTCATTTTTTCCAGATTGTCATCAATACAAATAATTTCTTGTAGTAAGGTGACATTTTTGCTTAAAAAATTTTCATTCTTTTCTGCATTCCTCTCCTATTGCAACTTAGAAATAAAATAATGATAATAAAAACAAAGGAAGGCAACCACTCTCCTCTGAGGGGGGTCACCTTTCATTAATAGCAGCGTGTCTAATGATTTGGTGGGAACACATGGAACAGATATGAATGACTCTCTTCCTTAAAAGAAACATGAAGAGTAGTTTAGTATACCATAGTTTTTTTTCTATTCAGTATATATTGTTCTTCCACATAAAGGAGAAAAAATGATTTTTTAAAATCACCTATTATTGGGATTGCTTTCTCTATTGTTGGTGAAGGATGCTGGCCACCATTCTAAACGGGAATGAGGAAGAGTGTATGTGTGAATAATACAGTGCTATACTTTTGGTAAAAACTTTATTTTACTCTTAACTCATTTGCAGTCACTGACGTGAAATTATGTCATTCCAAATTCTGTTCCTGGTTGCTGCTGACGTGAATTTACATCTTTGTAAATTCTGAATAATATATATTCAGTTTTAATCCAAATAAAAAATACAAAGTCCGGAATGCTAGTCAGAGTGGTAATACTGAGGCAAATACTAGATATGCCTGCAACTTCCAGCTGTATTGTTAAAAGAGGTGACAATTTAAGACCATTTCACTTGTGCTTAATGACAGAAGTTTGCGGCAACCAGCTTCAGATTTTTAAAATTTTCACCCTCCATCTGTTTTAAGAAAGTGAAAAATTTGCTGGTCATGGATGTGTTAAGTAAAAGAGTCAGAATAATAACAGTTAAGTTTAATGACTTAGATTGCTTCAAAAAGTAGTAGGTTGAATGCATTTATTTGAAGTGATTTTTCTGACATTGTATGTTGCACATCTCTCTACAGGTAATACGATCTTACTTCAAGCGTGCTGATCCGTTCTATGATGAGCAGGAAAATCACAGTCTCATTGGGGTGGCCAACGTCTTTCTTGAGTCCCTTTTCTATGATGTGAAGTTGCAATATGCTGTCCCGATCGTTAACCAGAAAGGAGAGGTTGGTTTTTTGCTTCACGCCTCATTTCCTGTCAATAATGACAGGTGATTTGTATGTGTATTAGTATCATCATCATCATTTTGTTTTCATAGGTCTTTGTGGTGGTTATTCCCAGGGCATTGAAGGGAGGGTAACTGTTAGAAAGTAGGCTTCTACATTAGTCACACTTGCACAAGGGGGGATTGGCAGTCACTGGACACTTCTAGGGGAGGGAGGGAGGAAGGGAGGAAGGCAGGGGACGTGTGACAACACAAAGGGCACCTGGTCCACTTCCAGGGGAGTGACGACCAGTTAGAAGCCCAAACTTCACCCGCAGGCAGCCTATTTATGTAGCTGATCCTCACTTGTATCCCACATCTCCGTAATAAAATAAAATTTAGTCTGAGCTTGGTGGCCCAACCTATAATCCTAGCACTTTGGGAGGCCGGGATGAGTGGATTACTTGAGCCCGAGTGTTCAAGATTAGCCTGGGCAACTTGGTGAGACCTTATCTCTACAATAAAAAATTAGTCGGACATGGTAGCACGTGCCTATAGTTCCGGCTGCTTGGAAAGCTGTGGCTGGCGGAAGAATCACTGGGGCCCAGCAGATCGATGCTGAGTTAGCCATGAGAGTGCCACTACACTCCAGCCTGGGTGACAGAGTGAGATTCCACCTCAAAAAGTGAATAAATAAAATTAAATTTTAAAAAAGTAGCTCTGAAATTCTCGTATACCATTAACCTAACAACTTGACTCTAAAACAGAAGAGAGAGCATCTAAGGGAGCATGAGCCAAATATGGAACCAGCCTCTACTTTCCCCCATTGTTCCAGGTGGCGGGCCGGCTGCATGTGGAGGTCGTGCGAATCAGTGGTGACGTCGGGGAAAGAATTGCAGGAGGTGATGAGACTGCAGAGGTCTCCTTTGAGAAGGAGGCCCAGGAGAACAAACTGGTCTGCATGGTAAGTCCCAGCTGCATTTGAGAAATAGTCAAAGGGGGGCTGATTCTGAGGATTGCGGGTCTTTGGATGACAAATGGTGTGCTGTTTTTTAAATTTTGACATTCTTTCTGTAGATTGGTCTTTCGTGCTTAATATTCTAGAAACCATATTTTATCCTGTATCCTGAAGTAGTGGTTTCAGCACTTCCAGGACCTTGCTCTGCGAAGCCTTGGACAAGTCGCTTTTTCTCGCTGGGCCATTCCGTTCCCAAACTGTATGCGTCTCTGTTTATCTGCACTTCTCTGTAGAGCAGCCTTTCCACACCAGTTTCCTCCTCTTGGTGGGGCTCTTGATTCCTGCTGAAGACGGAGATTATCCCAGCCCTGGTCCTGTTCCTAAGCTGCTGCCGTAAGTCACTCTTCGCACAGTCTTTGTTCTCCTCACCACGTGCCTCTGCTCATGCTGTTCCTTTCCCTTCTGCTCTTCCCATGCATTCCATTCCACGTGCTGCCTGTTACCGGTCGGGTACTGTGCCAGAGACTGGGAAGACAAAGATGAGTAAGGCGAGGTTCCTTGTCTCACGTAGCTCCCTGCATAGATGGTGCATGTGTGTAGGGGGATACGCGAGTGTGAACAGACTCCGGTGTTGTGTGATCCAAGTGCTCTGATAGAGGCAGGCACCAGATGTCCTGGGAAACAGTGGAGACGTCATGAATTCAGATAGGAGGGCTGAGGAAAGTTCTGGGAAAATGAGACTGAGGCCGAACCCCAGGAGGAGAGGGTGTCGTGTAAAATTCTCTCTCCACCAGTGCTTCTGGTGTTTTTGTGAGTGACTGCTAGGTCGATGGCAGGTGGGTCAGTCCCTCGGGGCTTCTGCCTACTCAGCGTGGGCTGAGCCGTGTCTCCCACGAGTTAGGACAACTCAAACGTCCTCTCGGATGTTTCCAGACTCCCCCTAGTGGGCCAGCACTGCCACAAGCTGGGGATCTCTGCAGGGCCCAGTTAAAAAGAAGGTTCTTGAAGACAAGAAAAGAAGTCACCAAGGTGCAAAGGAACAATGACAAGCGGGAAGGAAGCCATTGAAACACGAGGTGAAGGGAGCCAAAACCCAACGCCTAACTCGTCATCCACTAGGTCCAGGCCACCTTCTCAGTAAATATTGCTAGAGTTGAAGTTGGTGCTGAAAGGAATAAAGTTACGCGTTGGCTGCAAGGAAGGGAAAGCTGGAGCCGTTCAAGTTGGGCTGTCTGTTAAGTCTTCGCGTAGTGAGAAGCCTCCTGTGTTTAAGTCGATTACTTCAGTGTGTGTGTGTGTGTGTGTGTGTGTGTGTGTGTGTGTGTGTGTGTGTGTGTGTGTATTGGGGTGATACCTTAATTTATCTCTATTGAATTGCACTTGATTTCAGAACAGCTCCTTTGAGTTATATGATTACCAGAGTTAAAGACAGGCTTAATGACTCCACAATGGCCCATTTTTAAAGGTGATGGACTAGTAAATGCAACTCTGAAAGTTCAACTTTTGCCATCAGGGTAAAATGGCATACAAGGGAACTCTCTTACTTGGGAAATGTATCTTTGTCACTAACAAAAATAGTAGTATATCCTGGGTAACATGAGCTTTTTCTAAAACATGAAATTAAGATATCATGTGATTTTTTAAAGTGGAAGATATCTTACATATAGAACAGTAGTGAGAAATGTATTACTGATCCCATTCACCTTTGTGCAACAATGATCAACTTGTGGTTAATCTTGTTTCACTCATGCACTCAAGCTACTTCTGTGCTGTCCCCTCCCTTAGGATGAATTTAAAGCGGTCCCATACATCATATTTCATCCACAAATAGTTGAGTATGTGTCTCCAAAAGATGAGTACTTAAAAAATTAATGCAGTTACCATATCATTGTCAAAAGTTAATAATTTCTGAATATCATAAAATACCCAGTCAGTTTCCTCGGTTGTCTTGGTTGATGTGTCTCCCGTGTCTATTTTGACCTTTAGGCTCTGGTGTGCTTGTGTCTTTTCTTTTTTGCAGTATTTATGGTTTTATTTAAGCACAAATAAGACATGCACATGAGCTGCCTATTCATTTTCTTCACGGCGCAGCCTGGCATCAGGCTGGGTGACTCTGATGGCCAGCTGGGCTGCTCTTTCCACAGTGGCTTTGCAGTTCTTGAAGGAAACGTTGTGAGCAATCTCAGCACAGTAAGAGTTGTTGCACATCCGCTGCATCTCCAGCTCCTTGAGATTTGGACCGGGAACTTCTGGAAGCCCCTGGGCAGTATGCACTTTGTTTTTTGTTGCTCCCATAACCAGAGTTGTGCATCAAAGACTGGCCCTTGAGTCTCCATACCCTGTTGTCACTACCTCTGGGTTTCCGCTAGTTAATGCTTCATCTTGATGTATCCGTCTGACTGATGCCGTGAATTTCTTGGCCCTCTTTTGGACCTTCTTGGGCTTCACCGGGGGTTGGAGGGCAGCGACGATGCTGGGTATGAGATGGCTGCCACCTCGGTAGGCAGCGCTGAGGAAGAGAGGGGACGGTGGCACGCAAGGGCTGATGGGATGTAACCACTCTTGTGCTCTCTTCATGTGTGCACACCTGTGCACACTTTCTCACACCAAACCTGCGATGTATTTATTGTAGAAACAAGTTAAGATGCATTTGCTATAAATTGGTAGTGAGGGATAAAAGTGTTACCTGGGGGAGGGAGGTAGCAAGGGTGCTTTGCAGGTGGTGGTGTGTGTTCTTCCACCTGATTATTTCTTTTTGGAAATGCTAGCAGCCATGACTGATTATTGCCTAGATGCATTATTTTGTTAGAAACTGATGGATATTTTATGATATTTAGAATTATTAACTTTTACAAAAGAATGGTATCTAATTATAGTATTTCATTTTTCTTTTTTTTTGAGTCAGAATGATATTTAGAAATTATTAACTTTTACAAAAGAATGGTATCTAATTATAGTATTTCATTTTTCTTTTTTTTTTTTCGAGTCAGAATCTCACTCTCTCACCCAGGCTCGAGTGCAGTGGCATGCTCATGGCCACCATAGTCTTGACCTCCTGGGCTCAGGCAATCCTTTCGCTTCAGCCTTCCAAGTAGCTAGAACCACATGCACACACTACCACGCCCAGCTAATTTTTTGATTTATTGTAGAGATTAGGTCTCACCAAGTTGCCTGGGCTGGTCTTGAACCCGTGGGCTCAGGCAATCCTCTCACCCCAGTCTCCCAAAGTGCTGGGATTATAGGTGTGAGCCACCGCGCCTGACCCTTATTTCATTTTTTTATAGAGAGAATCTTCCTATTGTCAACCCTTTTGCAATTCAGAGGTACAATTTGTATAGAATAGACAAGATAAATGCTGCACGTCTCTCTTTATTTACTGATTTTTAAAATAATGAATTGATTTTCTAAAATGTCACCAATGAGCTTTCTTGTTCTTAGTGTTAATACCATTATGAACTCTTGGACTTAAACATATGTGATATGCTTCGATCCACTGCATTCATTACTTATATTAAAGCACAAATGTTCCCATCTTTGGCTGATGGGAGCACTTCAGTTGACTCTAGAGTCCTCTTGACACAACTCTAACCCTCATCGATGCTTCTTGCTTTCTGGCATCACGAATATTCTGATCTCATCCTGTTCATTTGCTAGAACTGGAATCAGCCATTTCTCCAAAAAACCTGATTCTTTTCAGTGGGAAGAGGTTTTTGGAGACCGTATTCTAGCATATAATAGCTTTCTTTGTAAAAAGGGTGAGGACAAATAAATTATATGCCAATAAACAAAATATAGGTAGAAAAGCAAAAGAATCTAGCCTGAAGACAATTAAGCTATCATGAGTCTTGAGTATCACAGTCCATAAAAGAAATATGGATTTATTTTTCCGTAATGAATATATGCACATATTAACATACTAATGTTTTCAGTGATATTGAGTAAAGTCAATTTAAAAACCTGAGTATATTTAAAAACCTTAACAGTAGTACCCACTGACAGTCCTTGGCTCTTGGGTCTTGAATAGCTACAAGTTGAAGTCTGTGGTATTCTGACACCTTGTGGTGATTTTAGTTTGTATGTGAAAACGTAAAAAAACCAAAAACCCCACAAAACCCAAACAACTTGTATTCTAGATATCTAGACATTCTTCATCTCTGATAGTCTTCATTCCTGGCAGTCTCATTTCTGAGAAGTTACCTGTAGAGTTCAGCATATTAAATCTTGTTTATTTTATTAAGTATAAAATACATTGAGATTAATTTCTAATGAAAAAATGGCTTTCAGGCTCAGCCTGTAATCCCACGCTTTGGGAGGCTGAGGTGAGTGGATTGCCCGAGTCCGAGGGGTTGAGACCCATCTGGGCAACTTGGCAAGACCTCATCTCTACAATAAATCAAAAAATTAGCCGGGCGTGGTAGTGCACGCCTGTAGTTCCAGCTACTTGGAAGGCTGAGGTGGAAGGATTGCCAGAGCCCAGCAGGTCGAGGCTGCTCCCGGCCACTGCAGTCTGGGCAACAGAGTGAGACTCCGACTCAAAAAAAAAAAAAAAAAAGAAACAGAAAAAAGAAAAAATGGCTTTCAGATGGAATTCAATCACAAAAAAGTATGTATTGAACATCTACCCAATGCCTGGTACAGCTCTCTTTCATTTCATTTCTTCGGTTTGGTCAGTCTCAACCCAGTATAGTAAGGTAGCTACTAATATTTCCATTGTGCCTAGGAGAAAACTAAGAATTTAAGTAATTTGTGCCAGCACACAAGCTAATAAGTGGCAGAGATTTTAATTTAAATCTGTGTAACTCCAAAATCTTGCAATCTTCCCAAATACCACCTTGCCTTACCTTAAATAATATAAAAATTTAAAAGCACTTAATGAAAAAAATGGCTTTAAGCATTTTACGAAAAATTAGTTGCAGGACATTGTTTGGTTTGGTGGAATAAAATGTGTCAGCTAATCTTTCATAGCCTGTAAGGGATAGTGACCCAGATGTTCCAAACTCCTGTTGGCTTCACAGGAAAAAAATGAATTATTATGGGGGTTCCCATTCATTACTCACCATTATGTGCCTGGTATGAAAGAAAATAAAGTCATCTGCTTTGCATGATTTTATATGTCATTCGTGCTTCCTGAAATGTTATATTGTGGTTGATGAACTACATAAACTTGTGTCATATATTCAAATTTATTTTCATAAAATGTATTCACTGGAGGTGGATTGACTCATACAACATGTAGAAAGTGACTAGTTAAAGAATATGATTTATGATTAATACTCATTCATGTGAAAATTGGTTTAATCGGTTATAAAAATCAGAATTTAATTAACTTTAGGATTTAGTTTCCTACATAGTTGGAGGAGTTTTAGAATATCACAAAAGTTTTAAATTAAAAGTCAACCCAATGCTGCCTGCCAAAGCAATTATTACAATATTTGGCTGTTTTAAAATCTGTTAGGGGCTTTTCTCCTGGGGTCGTTTGGGTCCAATTTGACACATGCTTCTAATTGTGCTTTGTTGTCATAAAACCTTATATTCTTCTTGTTCAGAGCACATTTCCTCTGACATGCCTCACCCTGCTGAATCTACATAGGGAAGGCATTCAGTGAATGTTGGTGTGGAGATTGGTAAACATTCACCATCTTCCATTCCCTTCGTTCTCCCCTCTAGATCGTCAAACTATACATTCCTGATGCTTTAAAGTTCTCTCCCAAAATGCTGTAGTAGCATGTAATATTTTCACTTGATAACCTTGTTCCTCTATATACTCTAAGTATCAGATTAATGTTTTCCCCTTTCCTGTTTATTGGCACATACACTGATTTAGTTCTTCTTTCATCTTACTTAATTTTGTTCTTTTCCTAACCGTATCCATGGATAGCCAAATTCATGCCATCGAATTGTGTTGATGTTTGAGAACTTTGTTCTTCTGAATCGATGAAGATTATTCTTATGTTCTAAGAAACTAGAATTTAAATGCTCTTCATCAGTCTCTAAATGCTTTACAATACCCACCTCTAAAGTCAAGATCATTGTTACCTGGTGTCAAACCTCTCACTAAATACACTTGCTACCCATTTCACTGATGCAGACGTAAAGTCTCAGAGTGAATGGGATTTGGCCATTATAAACCACCCATTAGTGACAGAATCAGGACCGCAACCCGTCTCTCTGACCCAGAGTGCTTGCAGGAACCTTCGGATTTAAAAACAGCCTTCTCTTTCCTTCAGGTTAAGATCCTCCAAGCAACTGGGTTGCCACAGCATCTGTCCCACTTTGTGTTCTGCAAATACGACTTCTGGGATCAACAGGAGCCAGTGATTGTTGCCCCCGAAGTAGACACCTCCTCCTCTCCCATCAGCAAGGAACCTCACTGCATGGTTGTCTTCGATCACTGCAATGTGAGTTTGTTTTCCAGACGAGGTCACCATTTAAATGACTCATGTCAAAACAAAACAGACTGCTTTGAATCATTGTGCCAGCATACGTCTCGGGGCAGAGTTTCTCAGAGTTGGGATTGAGTCAAAAACTAAAGTGTCAATGAATCTCACTCCTCCTCAATCAAAAGTCAACTGCTGTGTGAAAAACAAGCACATGTGTATATGCCCACCTGTACTCTTCTCCAAAGGAAATCCATGTCTTGTATTTAGGTTGCTGAAGAAGTTATTACCCCAAAAGGTTAAGAAACTTGTGTTTTGGAGACAGTGAAAATAGACACCAGACAAAAGCTAACTTTACTGAGCACCTGATGCTTTGCTAATCACTTTGTTTTTCTTTCATTTGATGTTTTGATTAGGGTGTTTTTTGTTTTTGTTTTCAGCCAAAAAAGCCATTTCAGAGAGCCTGAAGTAGTTTTGAGTCAGTTTGAGCATGGCTAGTAACCAGCAGAATCTGGACCTTCCTGTTCCAAAATCTTCTTTTGGTATTAAATGATACTTGACCCATCCCATTTTTTTTTTCAAGAGAGAGACCTTTTTCTAATTTCTTTAAAACAGAAATACCTTAAGTGCATTAGATAGAAAAAGAGGACACCCACAGAGATGAAATTCCATGACTTCCTTTATAAACTAAATCCTAATGGTGAAATGTCTTAGGTCATATTTTTGGGTTAATGACATTATTTCCTTTCTCTTCTATTAGTAGAGCTGGTTAACCTTCTATAAGGTAGAAAAAATTGTTTTTACAACACACTACTTACTACCTTAGTACATGTAATAACTTTTATATCAAGACTGTAACACTTAATACAATTAAACTTTTAAAAATAGCTCCCAAAATATTGCTAACAAAATAGAGTAATGCTGATCTTATTTTCAATGTGTGAAGTTTCAAAAATTCAGAATTATAGTTATTTTTACAGTCAAGAACCTAAGGCCATCTGAGCATTCATTACAGGTGTTAGGTGATGGTTCTGTTCTATAAAACATTCTGCTTTCTATTTCTTTCCTCCATGATATAATTAGGTGCGTGATAGTTGGTATAAACGATCATAAGATTATCAGAAAGTGTTTGCTCCTATGTAATTAGCTATTGTGTTTCAGGAGTTTTCTGTTAACATCACTGAAGACTTTATTGAGCATCTTTCAGAAGGAGCATTGGCAATTGAAGTATATGGACACAAAATTAATGATCCTCGGAAAAATCCAGCCCTGTGGGATTTAGGAATCATCCAAGCAAAAACACGTAGTCTTCGGGACAGGTGAATTTTAGATACTCATCTGATTCCATTTATAATTTTTAAAGATTGCTAGAAATTAGCATTGTCACTTAAAAGTTACTGTTTCCTAAGCATTACCAGTGTTCAAGGTAATTTAACTTAATCACACAGTCAAACTTCCTTAGGGGAGTGAACTTTGTAGAATGATGGAAGAAAGTTCAATTTATAGCCACTTAGAGAGAAACAGTGACATGAATTTCAGAGAACGGTCATTCATCATTATGAATTACTTCCTTTTTTTTTTTGAGTTGGAGTCTCACTCTGTCGCCCAGACTGGAGTGCAGTGG